TAAATCCCCAGTTCAGGAACAGTAGGATTTCAGTCTTAGTAGTTCTGGTGTTCTCCTTTAGCATCCAGTCTTATTTGCCTGAGTCTCCTAGGCAGGTTTGGAGCCAGCATCTGGTGGTGTTGGAGCCCTCCTGTGGCAGGCAGCAGCTGGTGTGCTGGTGGGCAGGTGGGCGGTGGCCTGGTGGGCCAGTCATATAATTTCTTGACCACTGAAACTACTAGCATTTATCATTTGAAGGCACAATTTCCTCTAAGACTTACTGAGCCTTTTATACTAGATGAAGAAGGAATTAAGATCCAATTTAACAGGAGGGGGAAAGAGCTAGGGACAAGGGAATTAATGTTAATTAAATGCTTACTTCATGCCAAACATCATCTTTTCTTATGATTCTGGGAGTTTGAATTCAGGGGTTTGCACTACTAGGCAGGTGCTGTACCACCTAAGCCACACCCAGCCTTTTTGCTTTAGTTACTTTTAAAAAATAGAATCTCATGATTATGCCGGGTTGGCCTGGATAATGATCCTTCCTTTTATGGCTTCCTGCATAACTGGTATGTTACCATGACCAGTTTATATTGGTTGAGAAAGGGTCTGTGAACTTTTACCTGGACAGCGCCTTTTGAACTGGGATCTTTCTGATCTCAGCCTCCTAAGTAGCTAGGATAACAGGTGTGGTTCTGTGCCCAGCTCAAACATCATCTTTGCTTTCTTTCTTTCTTTCTTTCTTTCTTTCTTTCTTTCTTTCTTTCTTTCTTTCTTTCTTTCTTTCTTTCTTTCTTTCTTTCTTTCTTTCTTCATGGTGCACAGGATCAAACCTAGGGTCTCATGCTTCATGCTAGGCAAGAACTCTAAACATCATCTCTTGGATACTTACAACAACCCAATGTGTGGAAGCTCGCACCTTGTGTTACCCTTAAAGGAGCTGAAGATCAGAGATGCTAGAAAATGTTCACAAGGTTCTATGTTTATTTACCATTTAAAGCAGCAAAAGTTCAGCCAGGTCTATCCAATTGCAAAATCCATGTTCTTGTCACTGTACTTCAATTTCAACAGCACCAAAACACTCAGTATAGACTACTTATCAACATTTCCATTTTTTTACACCAGCAAAGGCAGTGTTCTGAAAAGCTATATTTTGTTTGCCTGGTTTATTATATTTATAATTAAACATTTATTTCCATTATCTCTCTTAAATTAGTGAAGGACATTTAAAACTTCCAGTTAGAACTTCTGATTCATTTAAGACAACTAGTATCAGGAATTAAAATAAGTGAAAGGTAGTATGAAAAGCTTTAAAATATGCTATTTTTTTATCCTAGCAGTTCCACTTCTGGAACTCTATCACAAGAAATTGATAAAAACTGTGAGCAAAGATTTAGCCACAAGCTGTTCATAATATTGAAAAGTCAGTGATGGCCTAAGTATCTAATTATTAGGATAGTTAAATAAATGAAAGTATGCCTAAAAACACTAAATAATCATTAGAACTAATTTTTAGGTTAATATTAATTTGGAAAGTTGCCCATGAAGTAGTTTTATATGAAAAAATTAAGTTAGCAAGTAATCATGATCCAATTTTTGTTGGTTTACCTGGAATATAAACACTGCCAGAGTGGATAATCAACAATTGACCTCCTCCACCACTTGCTGTCATTGTTGCTGCTCATTGTGGCCTTTGTTCTGGTTGAGGAGAGAAGAGCTATAGTTGATAGAAAAGGTGGAGAAAAGCATGAAGAGATATGATGAGTATAGTACAAATGTATATCTTACCAGACTTCTTATACTAGGTTAAGTTCCTAGGCTTTATGAATGAGAAGTGGACAGGATAGAGGTGTTTTCTTCATGAGAATATTGTAATTCTAGGCAGGAGAAGCAGGAGTCAGAAGCCACAAAGTGGTTCATAAAAGAATTGTTTAATGTGGTACATGCACGAGGGTGAGTATTAGATCAGATGTCAAAGCGGCATTAGGCTAGGGAGAAGGAAGTTCTCTCCACCTGTGCAGGGAGGTGCTCACTGTCTCCCAATACCTCCTCACTTCTTGCTTATTAATGCAATTTAAGTTAGGCACTTAGGTGACCAGATTATGTTTCCCAGATTCTATTGTGGCTAGATGTAGTTTTGTAGCAAGGCAGAAAAAAGATAATGATTACCAGATCCAAGTCCATTTGGTCACTACTTGAAAGCCAATGTCTTAAGGATAATTTGTTGGGGTAAGGAAATAGATTTATTTGGAAAGCCAGTACACCAAATAAGATGGAAGCCTATCATCAAAATACCATTTTAGGGAATTCAGAGGCACAAAAGGCTTTTATAGAGAGGAAAAGGAGGTCAGTGGGCTAGAAGGCCGAGTGGGGTCTTTGCCACTCAGGCCTGCATTTTCTTTTCTCTTTTGCTGGAATATCCTTGAAATAACAATCAACTTTCCTCTTCTAGGACAGTCCCTATAATTTTTTGATAAGTACATTCTTTTCCTTCAAGTTAAACATTATTTTACTTTTAATTAAAGAACAAAACTTGTGAATCATTGGGCCACACTTTGAAATTGCTTGAAGACTGTCAGATGTCCTGGGTTTTGTAAATCTAAAGAAAAGTTACTGATTAGTTTTACAACTCATGCCTTTTTAGTTCCTTTCCACAGGAATAACTCACCTCGTAGTTAATCATTAAGATACAAAAAACATCTTTCCTGAGTGAAGAGGGGAAGACAGTGAAAAGCAATTGTTTTCACCTGTTAAAAGACTTCAGTGAGAAGTATCAAATACAGCAACCTAGCAGGAGACTAATAATATTTTGCACAGCATGGGACCACTGAAATTAGTGATTCTTAAAGTCAACTAAAAGCAAGTGAAGTTGGCTTGCCCTTCATTATATAATGGCAGAAACTGGAGCAGCCATGTTGAAATAAAAGATGCAAAGCAGGCTCTGATGATGGCAGAATCACAAGATAAAAAAGCCTGGAAGTTTGTCATAGGATAGAGTGACAAGAAATACTAGCCTAGACTTTTTTTGTGGTACTGGGGTTTGAACTCTCAGGGCCTACACCTTGAACCACTCCATTAGTCCTTTTTCTGTGAGTTTTTTTTTCTTTTGAGATTCTTGCAAACTATTTGCCTGGGATGGCTTTGAACCATGATCCTCCTGATCTCTGCCTCCTGAGCAGCTAGGATTATAGGTGTGAGCCACTGGTGCCTGGCTAGCCTAGACTTTTATGTGAGAGAGAAATGAACTATTGTGTAATTATTTTATTTTGGGAAGGCCTGGTATAACAGCCAAGTAACTGATTTTGTATATTCGGTTCTGCTTTGGTGGCAGAATGGCAACATCTAGGGGGCAACATGAACCTTGTTGTTCTTTAATAAATAGCAATGGTGGCAAATGGTATCCTAATTAGAGATTTTTTAAATGGCATCATGAGGAGAGGATGTGAATAAGGAAAGCCATAATGGGAAATAAAGAAGAGTGTGATTACAGCTGACTGTTGTAAGAATGTGGCTGCTCCAGTTATCTATTGCTGTACAATAAGCTATCCTCTAAAATGTAGTGACTAAAACAATGACAGTATTCATTTTGTTCATAGCGGTACCAAGCAGTACCTGGACTGGAGACTGCTAGCCTCTGAAGGCTTGCTCCCTCATATAGTTGACCATTTTGTTGGCTTCTGCTGAGATTGGAATATCTACAAGTGGCTTCTCTGAGTAGCAGTTTGGCTTCATGATAGCATGTTGGCTGGGGTATAAGGTGTAGGGTTTTAACAGAGAGGGAAAGAGAGAACTGGGATGAAGCTACATTGCTCCTTATGATTCTAGCCTGAGTGCCACCACTATCATTTCTGCTGCATTCTATCCAAGAGTAGAAGCATTTGTGTAAGGTTGGTCCATATTCAAGAGTAGGTGAAACTAAGCTCACTTTTTGATGGGAGAAGTGTCAAATAAGTTTTGGAGATGTTTTAAAGACACAATGAGAATTATCTCTTTTAGGATTATCAGAAATAATTTAAAACATATTGAACGAGGAAGGGCATTGACCAGTATTTGGTCATCTCTCTCTCTTTCTCTTTCATATGTGTATATAATGTATATGTATATATGGAAAAAAGTTGTTGCTATTCTGGGCACCTATGTGCCAGCTGAACATTCTACTACTATGTAAAAAAAAAGGATGGATGTTGGGTAGCAACCAGTAGTCTCTGTAACAAATACTAAATATCATTCATGTCTTCTCCCCTAAAAAATGAGCAAATGTAGGTAAGGAGTAATTTCTAGCTAGTGTTTAACTCCCAGAGCACAGAGCAGTTCCTGGACAATAAACCTTCGAGGAATGTAGAAATAAGTTTTATTCACATTAGAGTTAGACCTTAGACCTCTGTGCTCAATCTTGAAGACAATTGGTTTCCAATCCTTTTAAACATACTATCTCCTATGACATTTAAAATCTCATGTTACCATCTTACCTTTTCTAATATGCTCTATAAGGGAGGTGTGTTTCCCAAGTGAGGAAACAGAAGGCAGTGTGTTTCCTGTATGTTGTCAGTTGCCTTAGATGCTTAGAGCAGAACGTTGGTCATGAAAAAGTGTGGGACCCCATCCTTTACATGACATTTAATTTGAAAGCAGAGATTATAAAGGCTTTGTACTCAGGGCTGCAGTTATCGTTCCCTTGCTAGACCTTACGGGAATTGTGTTTCTTGAGCCCTAAGAAATGAAGACGAGGAAGATTTCATATGGTTTTGTAAAGAGAGACAATTCCTACGGAAAGTACCTAGCGCAATCAACAGCTTTACTTGTCAAGCTTTGCTTTCTGTTTTGAAAGCTTTGCTTTCTGTAGCCTACATCAAGCAAACGATAGTTTTGTTCCTTTCGCCTTCCAAGTGTAAAATCACATTGAAACTTCCTACAGGTTGACAGCACCCCCACCAAACCCCCGCCCAAACACGCACACCGCTGCCACAAAGCTCTACGCTCTTTACGACATGGTACGACGCCAAGCCCAAGACGCTTCCACGGCGAGGGCCAATCGCGCGGTTCCCGGGTGGCGACGTAAGCCGCTCTTGCACATGCGCAGAGCCGTGAGACCTTGGAAAAGAGGTGGAGGCCCTCAAGCCGGGGTGGAAGCTTTGGCGGAAAGGAAAGTAGGTGGGGAAAATGCAGAGCTGGAGTCGCGTGTACTGCTCCCTGGCCAAGGTGAGGGCCGCATGGGTGGGGGCGTACTGCGCCAGAGGAACGGAGAAGCCCTCTTACGGGGTCCGGGACGCGGCTGAATAGGTGGGGGCAGGGGAGGCCGGCGGCCAGGCCAGGACCACTTTCGGCCTCGCCTCCGCACGGCTCGGCCGGGCCTCGGCTCGAAGGTAAATGGCTCAGCCTCCTGGGGCGGCACCCGTCGACTGTGGAGAGCTTCTGCTAGCTGGATGACCGCTAGCAGTTACACACACCACATCCCCAGACCTGAGCCGACGGGGTCACACACAGGCCTTCACCTTGGTAGGGGTTTGCAAACCACCCTTCTCATGGATGGCCTAGTCCTTCATACTTAATCTTGACCCCTGATTGGCCTAATTTTCTGCAGTGGGGAAGTAGGTAATTGGGACCACTGTTCCTATGGCCCAAACGTGGTCAACTCTAGCAGATAGCCCGAGAAATTATTCTAAGGTCCTGTCATTGTTTGCAGCTGTGCACCAGTGTCCATTGCCATCCCTCAGTCGTCCCATAGACATATTTTTAATTGCAACTTTCTTGTTTCATCTGCCTGTCAAGTATCGCTAAATTGTATGTACTGTATGTGATTTATAGCTGGGCATTACAAGACCTTAAAGCTCAAACTCTGTTGTTTCAAACACGAGGTGTCTGTGTTCCCCAAAGTTAATGTAACATGCCAGAAGTCATGCTTTTAGGGACAGGCTGGGACTAAAACTCTGGACGGATAGTTTGCTCTCTTTTATGATGTCCTGATCTCAGGTGCAAGAGTTCCTTTGGAATAGAGAACATTACTGTATCAGTAGATTTTATCACTGCCTCCCAGTCACCTGCTGTGATTGGAACTGGAGCTGTTCATTTTTCTTTGTGTCTCACTGCTCTTAGGAAATGGTAGTCTCAGGTATTTAGAGATTGTGACATGCTGATGCAATCTGTAGAACTGTAGTACCTCCAGAATATGAGTACATTACTTGTGTTTTCGTAGTTACCTTATCTAATGTTCAAGAACCTATTCATAGATTGGTCAAGATACATCTGGGCCAAGCATATGTGGTGGATTAATTAAGAAACAGGTAAGTGGTAGAGCATTTACCTAGCATGTGCAAGGTCCTGGGTTTGATCCCCAGCACCCCCCCACACACACAATAAATAGAATGAGGACAATAATTGCAAGTAAAAAGATTGTCATGATGTAAATTATTCACATACTTAAATACTCATTTTTAATTATGACATTGCATTACAATGATGTTGGCACTGAAAATTGACCATGGTTTGAAAATTTAACAAAACTTAATACCACTAGATACAGTTTTAAATTGATATGTTATCTCCATATAGTTATAGAAAATACACTAATAATAAACACTTAGTACATTTTTCAGAAATTGTTATGTTTTCATCAGCCTTCAGTAGTTCTATGTTTTGAATTTATACTTTATGTAACAGAAACTTTTTTTTTTCCTAGAGAGGCCATTTCAGTCGAATATCTCATGGGCTACAGGGAGTTTCTGCAGTGCCTCTGAGAACTTATGCGGATCAGTCAAGTAAGTACTTAGTACAAAAGTTTTTAATCAAATTGGCTACAATTCCTTCATGTTTTGTTGTAAAAGCAAGTGAATATAGCAATTAAATAATCTGTGCTGCAGCTCATTTGTTTATATTTGAATGTTTATTGAGCACCTAGTGTGTTCCAGGACGTGAAGAAGGCAAAGCCCTGCTCTTGTGAAACTTACAGGCAGGTGATAAAAGATAAAGCATAAGTAACAGATGAATATTTTGGGGAATAATTGAAAATTAAAGCAAGTAACCGGGAAGAAAAGAGATGATTTAAGGTTAAGGTGTCAGGGAAAACCTTTTTGAGGAGATGATGTCTACAGGGACCTGAATGGAATGAGGGAGTGAGATTAGTTCAGCCTTGCGCAAGGTCTCAGGTGGGAATTAGCTTGTGATGTTCCAGGAAGATCAAGAAGACTGGTGTAACTAGTGAAGAGACCCACAGGATGTAAAATCAGAGAGGTAGGCAGGGATCAGATCATGGAATGGTTTGTAAGCCATGCCAAGTGGTGTAGATGAGGAATCACTGAAGGATTTTGAGCAGAGAAGCAATTGCATATGTTTACAGTTTTAAGAATTAATCTTGGTCACTGGGTAAGATTGTGTTGGTTGTTTGAAGATTGTTTAGAATGGTGAGGTGGCTTTGACACCCTGAATGAAAATCTTGATATGAGTTTATCAAAAGCACCTTTTAAAAATTAGCAGGACATACCTAAAAGGAAGCTATGGATTATAGAATTTTCTTCTTTATACTTTTTTTTTTTTTTGCGGTACTGTGGCTTGAACTCAGGGCCTACACCTTGAACTACTCCACCAGCCCTTTTTTGTGATGAGTTTTTTTCAGGATAGGTTCTCTTGAACTATTTGCCCAGGCTGGCTTTGAACCATAATCCTCCTGATCTCCACCTCCTGGGTAGCAAGAATTACAGATGTGAGCCACCCACACCTGGCTATCCTTTTTTTTAAAGTTTCTCTAAAGGGTATGTGTTTTATTTTTTAAGCATTTAGATAAGGAAATGAGTGGGCTTTTATTGAGGTGTTTTGACCTCAACAATTACTGGATTCACCCATAAAATTGATGTTAACTGGTCTTAAAGCTTCATTATACAAACTATTAGCTGAGGGGAGCTATGATATCAATATCACTGCATTCTGTGGAAGAATTTTATCCTGCAACCTTGACTATCGTCAAACTATTATTTCAGATGTTTTATTCCTAGAAGGAAGGATGTGGGGTGGGGTGAGGGAGGATTCTAGTTACTAGTTACTGTCAGTGAGTGAATGATTTATTCCAACTATGAACAGCTCAGGAAGTCCTTTTAAAACAAACTCATGGTGGGGGAAAAGGTTGGACTCATTATACCCTTTGTCTCTTTTGTTGATTGTGAATATCATTATTCTCAACTCCCATAATTGAAATTTTAGGTTTTCATTTCCAAAGCACATTTTCCATGACTAACTGTATACCTTTGGAATTGTTCAACAAGATTATTCAGGGTTTTCTATTTGCTTAGCAGTCCCTGAGCAGGACCTTAGGTTTTTTTTGTTTGTTTGTTTTGTTTTTTTGTGGTACTTGAGTTTGAACTCAGGGCCTACACTTTAAGCCACTCCATCAGGCCTTTTTTGTGTTGGGTGTTTTTGAGATAGGGTCTTGTGAACTATTTGCCTGTGCTGGCTTTGAACTGTAATCCTCCTGATCTCTGCCTCCTGAGTAGCTAGGATTATGGGTGTGAGCCACTGGTGCCTAGCAGGACCTTAGTTTGGGGCTTTTTTTTTTTTTTTAGACAGAGTCTCACTTTGTATTTCTTGCTCTGTGGTACTCACTGTGTAGCCCAGACTGGTCTCAAACTCACAGTCCTCTGTCTCGGTCTCCCCATTGCTAGAATTACAGGCTTAGAGGCATGTACCACTGCACCTGGTTAGGAACTTAGATTTTAATGGAGGGAGACTGAGTACTGAGTAGTCTTTAACCAGTTTAGTGATCCCTTGACATGGGGTAAGTTGTAAATCTTAGTAGCCTTGAATATGTAAAATGAATATAATCTTTGGGTAGATGAAATAACATTTTGTATACATATTTATATTCCATCTGAATTCTTTAATGACTCTTTTCCTCAAAAATACAAGCTTCATCAGGGCAACGACTGACTTTATCACCTAAAATGGGACAATAGGTCTTCAATACGTATTTTTTTGGATAAATGAACTCTAAGGCCATTTCTGTTATTGCTCTATAACAAAGTATCCAATATGCAGCTATAATGCCATTGATATTAACTGATGCATCCAGAGCTTACCTGTGTCTCAGGCAGTCTTTAATCCTCATGGCTATTCCACCATGTATGTATTGCTCTGCTAGTTTCCTCATTTTGTAGACAGAGGAACTGAGTCCTAGAGAGATTTTCTAGTTAAGTAGTGAAGAGTTGGGAGAATCTTTTTTTTTTTGGTGGTGCTGGGGATTGAAGTCAGCATCTTGTACTTGCTAGGTAAGCTCTCAGTCTTAGCCTGTACTCTTAATCAGTAGTCTACTCCTGCTGTCTTAGATGAGTATTGGTTGACCAGCTTGAGGAAATCAAAGTTATAATACAGTCCAACATCTGGGAGGTGTTTGAATATTCTAATGAACCAAGTCCATCAAGAGTTGCAGTTTTGTCTGATGATATGACCTTCCATGTCATGACAGGAATAGATTTGGTACACTTGTATTCATTGTGTTGATTGATTAGTTTATTTATACATTCATTATTTCAGCAAATATTTAATTTCTGCTGTGTGCTATTTGGTTAGCTGCTGGGCTAAATCAGTAAACCAAACAGATAAGATCCAGCTTCTATAGAGTTCATACAATCCAGTGAGGGAAGACAAACACCTTACAAATATTTACAATTGTGATAAGGGGTCCACAGGCTAAGCATAGGACGTGTGAAATCCTTGGGAATGGTCACAGAATTCTTTCCAAAGGATTTATGTTGATGTCTGAAAAGGGTTGAGTTTGGAGTGGGTAGAGGTATTCCAGTTACAAGGAACAGTATGTGGAAATATTTTGATATGGAAAGAAGCATAGTACATTCGAGTGCTGAAAAAGGGCCAGAATGGTGAAACACATTGAAGATTGAAAGTTGACGTACCACAATTATAAAAGTATTTTATTTCTTTATACTAAGAGCAGTTAGAAGTCACTGAAGTGTTTTAAGCAGAGGCATGACATGACCAGGTTTGTTTTTAAAGATCATTCTAGTTACAGATTGAATTTTTATTGTAATTCTGTTTTTTCCTCTCTAATTAGACTATAAGAACCAGGGTATCATTTAGATGTACCCAAGAGTTTACTGTAATGTTTGTAACATGCAATGTGTATGGTCAGTATTTAACTCTAGATAGATGGAACGGAATGTACATAGGTAGACCAGTGTAACTCTGTGCATATAAACTAACACGCTTTGTTCCTGAAGTCTGTACCGCATGGTATTGGTGGGTAAGCAGAATGTGGTAGGAAATGAGATTGGAGAAATAATTACTGAAAAGATATGGATGTTGTACTTAGTAACTTGGACTTTTTCCAGAAGAGACAGGGAAATCAACGAAGAGTCAGAGGAAATCATCTGAGTTGGGCTTTAGCAGAGTTAGGACAGAGGTAGCAGTGTAGTAGTTTAGGATATTACAGAGGATGGGAAAGAGGCTGGAGGCTGTAAGACTAAAGTTGGGAGGTGAATCTGGAAGGCAAATGACATTTACTAGAGTGCTTAGTATGTATCTGCGCCTTCTTAGGGCCTTGACAAACTACTTCTCTCTGGTCCTTATAATCCTGGGCTGTAGGCATTATCCTTACTATCATTCATATGTTACATCAAAGTCCAGAGATAGTAAATAATTTGCCAAGAATTTAGGGCTGGTAGCATTCATGTTTGAATCCAGGTTTATTTTATTTCAAATCCTTCATTTTATTATTTTTTCTTGTGGACTAAGATCTTAAAAACAGTCTCTTCTAGCCCTTGTGACCCTGTGAAGTAGATAATTTTTGGTCTTTGATTTTGCATATGAGCAAACAAATATGAAACAGGTTAAGTCACTCACCTAAAGTCATGTAGCTAGGAATTACAAAGCTAATTATTGCTCTCTGGGATTTTAGTTTATGAGGGCTGAAATTGAGAAATGGCATAATGTTAAATAGTGGGAAAACCACTGGAAGTAGAGTAAAAAAAAAACCTTAGTTTTTTCTCTGCCACTCACTTGGTGGATGACTTGGGCAAGTCATTTGACCTCTCTGAACCTCTTGTTTCTTCTTTGAAATGTATTTATGCCATGCTTGCCTTCCTCGTATTATAGAAAGGTTAAGTCACTTAAGGGTGACCAAGATTATACAACTAAGTGACAGAGATGAGATTTAAAATCCAGCATGTCAGATTCCAAAGCAGTCTTACTTCCAGTGTCCCTAAATTCCTGTCAGTTATCATTAAATAAAACTACAACATTTAGCCAGGCCACTGGCTAAATATAAGGTTGTATTTCCATATGCCATAATGAATAAAAAGTGAAAGTGACATTTAAAATAATAGAAAATGAAAATTTTAAATTTGTGCCATTTAAAATAGCATCAAAAACCAAGTATCTAGGAAAAAAGTAATACTGTATAGAAAATGATGATTATTTGCAATTCCTTGGAGATTTAAATATTGGGGTTTTTATTTGTCTTTCCAAAAAGCTATTGTTGGTAAATATTAAGCAGTTTACTATTTTATATCAATTTGCTTTTATTACAGTTGATGCTGATGTAACAGTGGTAGGTTCTGGTCCTGGAGGATATGTTGCTGCCATTAAAGCTGCCCAGTTAGGCTTTAAGGTAAGATTTAAATTCAAACTAGATGTTGATTTGTTTTTATATGGGATGGGTTGATCATATTTATAAAGTGCTTTGCAGATAAAAACATGGTAACTATATATTATTTGTTAACTTCAAAGTAATAAAGAATGTGTTTATTTGGTTGTAGTAGTCTCATGGAATAGAAAGTAAAGTCTCCTATTTTTCCTCTCCTTCCCAAGTTTTTCATTTTGACTTCTAATCACACTTGGGAAGACATGATGATGAAAGTAAAATATATACGGTAATCTTAAAATATCTTTTAGAATAATTCACTTCGGGGTTAGCTTAAGTTAATTAATGTTCACATGATAAGTTTTAAAGGACTCGTGTTTTAGTTAAAAACAAAACATAGCGTGTTTTAGTTAAAAACAAAACATAGCTTGCGTAGCTTGCTTTACAGAACAGTTAAGATGGATACATTTGGAATTTTAGTGAACTGAAAATTTTGTAGATTATATGTGGTTAAATAATGTTTTCTTTGGTTGTAGACAGTTTGTATTGAGAAAAATGAAACACTTGGTGGGACATGCTTGAATGTTGGTTGCATTCCTTCTAAGGTGAGCATATGTTTTGAATAGTATAGAGATACTTTTAATTAGCCACTAACTACAAGGATGTATTGTGACTACATTATTAAATTAAAAAGTAAACCCAAGTATGATTAAAAAACCATATTTTCCTTTGTAAAACTCATAGTGCTGTCACGAGCCTACCACACATTCCTTGTCTCAGAATAGCTAATTTTTCCATTCAAACTCTGATGTTCCAAGTTTTCTTTTTAACTGTGTTTTGCCAGTGAAATAGATAAGTTCTTTTAGTTCCTTATGTATGTAAACATTACTGTGGTTTTTTTTGCTTGCTACCCTTTTGCTTTTAAAGAAAGTTGTTTTTGTTTTTCATTCCTGTTTGAATTTTTTTTTTTTATGTCTTTGTTGTTTGTCTTAGATTAATCACATAAGAAGAGAAAGTGAACTGGTATAGTCTCATGCACTATTCCATGTAGAGAATGACATTTCATCAGTGCTTTTTGATTGTAGAGAATCTTTTTGTGAATATTTGATAATTTTGTCTCTATTCCCTTTAGGCTTTATTGAATAACTCTCATTACTATCATATGGCCCATGGAAAAGATTTTGCATCTAGGGGAATTGAAAGTAAGTATACTTTTGTATTAGCCTTATTATCAGACATGATTGACTCTTCTTGCTAAATACTTGTGTGTGTGTGTGTGTGTGTGTTACATATGTGAATAGATGTTTAGTGAGGGGTGAATAAGATGAATAATCTTGAAAATGTAGAGAGATTTACATAAGAATGCTTATTAAATCCAGATTTCTACCATAATATCTTTCTTTTGCAAACTTTTGCCTGACTCTCCTATTTTTGATGTGAGTGAAGAGTCAGTTTTCATTTGCCTCACCTAAAGCTCACTGGGGAGGCTGGATTCCTGAGTACTATGGACAGATAAAGGGAGGAGAGAAGGCCTACCTAAGTTGTTGGTAGTGGAAAGAGCTGAGGAGAGAGAGAAGGGGGCAGCTTAGTGGAAAAGAAGGAAGACATTTCATAACATTTGGATTTGGTATGTCTTGTCTTCTCTCATACTTTTTTGGGTTGCTTTCATCCTTTCTCTCCAATTTATTGTTATTGGCAGATACTGCCAGAAGGATAGTCTGTTCTTGGAAAGACTAAATGTACCCTGGGATATTACTTTTCCTTCCCTTGTTTCTTTATAGCAGTAGGTTTCTGAAAGAAAGGGCTGTGCGTAGGGCAATCCAGGGGTGTAGAGAAGATGTATATATACCAAAGCAAATATATTAAACTCCACGAATTATAGAATAGAAGAGAAGAGGTGGGGTAGGGTAGTTAAGAGACATGCATTGTTAGGCAGCTCTGTGACCTGGTAAAATCAGAAATCCTTCCAGTCTGCTTCCTCATCTTTAAGATATGTGTTGGTTGCATGAGCTGCTTTCTAAGATATTTTTACCTCTACAGTTTTATTTAGTTGAACATTTTTATTTTATGTTGCTACTTCAGAATTCCCTTCTGAGTTAAATGAGTGATTAAAATATAGGTGTTTAAACCTAACTTTTACATTAAGCTTGTGTATTTGAAACATTCAAATGTATACAAAAGTATACATGTTTTCATGAAATTTAGAATTTCTTTATTTAAAGGTTCATATGATGTTTTACTTTGCCATTTTTACTTATGTGTCTTCTAGACTAATAACCATGATACAGTATTTGTAGAATGTGTCACAGTGGAATATAGTACATTCATTATTGTGATATGATAACATCAGCCTTTTGTCTGTTATGATTATGTCAGTTGATTAAAAATTTTTAATATTGGCTTTTATACAGTTCTATCAGCATTAAGCTGAAATCTTTTAGATCTTGATTAATAAAAAAAAACCAAAAAAACCCACACATTGATTCAGGAATTTAGCTAAGAACTTAAAGGTTTATTTGACAAATTACAGTGTCTGAAGTTCGCTTGAATTTAGAGAAGATGATGGAGCAGAAGAGTACTGCAGTAAAAGCTCTAACAGGTGGAATTGCCCATTTATTCAAGCAAAATAAGGTTGGTGCTCAGTGTTCATATTTCTGCCTTTATTTTATATATCCATTAAATACTGCATTATGCTTGTAGAGTGCTTGAGCTTGGCTACTGGAGACATTATTTAATTTAAAATAGCACTAACACTGGGTGCCAGTGGTTCACAGCTGTAATTCACGCAACTTGAGAGGCTGAGTTCAGGAGGATTGTGGTTTGAGGCTAGCCCTGGCAAATAGTTTGTGAGATCCCATCTCCAAAATAAGCAGAGCAAAATGAACTGGAGGTATGGCTCAAGTGGTAGAGCACCTGCTTTACAAGTGCGAAGCCCTGAAAACCCCACTCCCACCAAATAAAAAACAAAAACAGTACTAACCTGAAGTAGATTTCCATGGCATAATTTTTTTTACTGCTACATGTGTAGCATTACTACATAAAGAAGCATTTTATATTATAAATTAATTACAGAGTATTTTTGCTTATTTATGCTTATCAGAAAAATCATTAAATTTTTTGAATTTATAAACATTATTTTATAAAGGTTGTTCACGTGAATGGATATGGAAAGATAACTGGCAAAAATCAGGTCACAGCTACAAAGGCCGATGGCAGCACTCAGGTTATTGATACAAAGAACATACTTATAGCTACTGGTTCAGAAGTTACACCTTTTCCTGGAATCACGGTATTTATGCTTTGTAATGTACGGTTACTACAACATCCTTTAGAAATAGGTTTTATAAATAATTTTATGCTGTTTTATGATATTTCTGAATGAAATAGTATATTTTGACAGTCCTTCAGCCTTGGAAAGTTACTTGTCTTTATCCTACAGTGATTTTGACCAGTTGTAGAACACATTATATATTAAGATAAATTTTAGTTAAATATGAAGTTAAAATTAACCATTTTGTTTAGGAATGCTGAATGATAAAATTTAAAGTTAGTATTTTTATTATTTGTTTTTTACTTTTTAAAATTGTTTTGGTTATTTTAAATGGGATTTGATTAAATTGGGTAATATAGAATAAACGAAGTGGTTTAGTATTTTTAGTCATTTTATGGAGTGAGATTACAGTTCCTAAATTACTGTGTTTTTCCAAATAATTTTGATTTTTTTCTTTTGCTTTTCTTATTATAGATTGATGAAGATACAATAGTGTCATCTACAGGTGCCTTATCTTTAAAAAAAGTTCCAGAAAAGATGGTTGTTATTGGTGCAGGAGTGATTGGTGTGGAATTGGTAAGTGGCGTCTTTCAGCATGTTCTCAGTCTCTTCCATAGAGTTGGAAGGGACTTAAAGTTCCTGTTGGACCTTAGGCCAGACAGCATTGTGTTTTGCTTTAATACATTCAGTAATAGCAAACATACTTTTTCTTCCGAGACAGCCTTTTAAGGTAATCATCAGTCATTAGACCGTTCTCAATTTTACAGTTTGCTTTTCTGTTTCTTCACCCTCTCTGGTCATTGGAACTGGTCTATTCTTTTTCAAGCTGACATAGCCTTCGACATTCTGAAGGACAGTTCTTGTTTTGAGCTAATTATATTTCAGATAAAGACAATACTTTTTACCACAGTATACATGATATGAGTCATCCTTTCTTAATCTCTGTTTTAGAAATGTCCAACTCTTTGCAGTTCTCTCAGCACTGTGCTACTTCATACTTTATGCCTGTCTTGTTCTCTCTTCTTGTCCATCTGACAACTTTCCACCTTTTTCCTTCATTTTAGTTATCTTCTCTCAGGGCCATCACACCTTGTCTTCACCAAGAATTGCTCTACTTCTGAAGTCATAAATTCAGACAATCTCCTTTCCTTTTACAATTACTGCTAGTATACTTTTATAGTCTTTAACTTTAGTAGGCTTTCTAGCCCAGAAATCCCTACTTTTTTTTTTTCTTTTTTTTTTTTTTGCTATCTGTGGTCTCTTGTCTTGACTGCTTTCTTACTCAGTTTAGATTCCACAGTCTGTTACTTCAGCTGCTATCTTATAAAGGTAGCCTTGAGTCACTTGCCTCTTGTTTTTGAAATACTTGCTTGGCAAAACTCTAGTCCTAGTTGAATTTAGCAGTCTATGTTTTTCATTGTATTCCCAGGAGGAACCTGAAGGAAATCAGATCCTATGGATTGGTGTCCGTATAAATTCTTAGTCACAGATGTCAGCAGGAACCTCAGCCTGGCTAACAATCCATTATTTGCCTAGCTGGTATACTCTCCAAATTGCTGAAATGGCTGTTTTCTTTTCCCACTCTTCTCATTCCTCTGCTAGTACACTGTCTTCCTCTGCCTACAGATTTCCTTATCTTCTAAATATCACATAAAAAGGGAACCATGGGATGAGAACTCCCTCATCTTAAGTACAAAATTTGAAAATGCTTTTCATTTGTTTTCACAGCTCTCCTTTTGCTCTTCTCTCCTGCTACTATGAAATGCTGTTTTCTCTATGATTAATCCCTTCTCCTGTGCTTTGTAACATGTAATTTTCTCCCTTCTCAGGGTCTTAGTTTTGAGATTTTTATTCTTTCTTGTATTTTTCAGCCATTAAATTCTTTTCTACTTCACTTTTCATTTATAGTTGAACATGCCTGTGCATATACCTGTATGCTACCCACACAAGTGCATGTACACCCTCGCAGACATAAGCTTATGCACACACAAATAAGCTTTCTCTTGATACCATGTCTGTCAGTTACTAATTTCTCTTTCATGTTCTTTTCACAACATAACTTCTCAAGAGTCATCTGTGCTCTTATTTCATCAGCTCCCACTCATTCCATTCTTTGTGCCAGTATATTGCTTCTGATAAGGACATTAATGGATTTGGTTTTATTGCTCAATCAAGTGGCCTATTTTCTTTGCTGGTGCAATTGACAGCAGTCAACATTGTGATTTCTTGCCTTTGAAACTCTCCCTTCTTTAATTCCATACCTTGCTAGTTTTACATCTACTCATTGGGCTGGCTTCACCTAAGTTCTATTTCTCAGCCTTCCCCTTACTGTATTACTCTAGATTCTGTCACTGGGTTTTCATAGACTCTTTTTGTCTTTACATAGAATATTATTTTTATTGTCACTTAGTTATCCAAGGAGTCAGACTATTTATAGCCTAATTCTTTCTCCTTGCTTCTGGGCTTTGTTTTGCTTTGTTTTTGCCTGTAGACTTTATATCTCAATGTACCAGCATCTCCACTTGTGCATCTCCAAGGCACTCTATTCAGTGAATGTATGACATTTTTCTATCTCCATTCTTCCTCCCTCACCCCAAACAAAATCAAGCATGTTTTTCTTCTCACATTTCCCACCTCAGTGAGTGGTGCTGCCATCCACATAGCAGCCTAAGCAAGAACTTCAGAAGTTACACATGATTTCTCCCTTGCCTTCATGTCCCACAGTAAGTCCTGGCTTCTAATGTGAGTCTGTGTTATCTTTATCTCTGGATTAGATTCCCTCCTCTTCATTCATCTACTTAGATCCTAGTTCAGGTTTGCAGCTTTAACTTTTTAAATTTGTTCTCCTCAGAGTGGTTGTAGTCTAGAGCACGTTTAACTATGTTTTGAAATTTTCAGTGGCTTATGATTGCTATTAGGATAAGTCCAGCCTCACTGTTTAAAGAGCAGCATGAAGTGACACTGGCTTATGTCTACAGCCTTATGTCTGACCCCTCTTCCTCTTAGGCAGAATAGCAGTTCCTGAGCAAGCTTTGTTCTTACCGTAGACTTTCCTTCTGTTTGGGGCATTTCTTACCTCTCCCTGTCCATGTGCTCTTGTGAGTCCTGCCCTGACTATCCTGGGGGCTCTTAGGTGCTCCTGCTCAGTGTTCCATTGCACCTGGAACTTCTGTTTCTTACAGTATTTAGCTCACTTTCTTGATCTTATTTGTTCCTTATATTTTCATTAAATCATGAACTTTATGAGGACAGAGATCATGGCTGTTTCATTCCTTGTGTATCTTTAACATCTAGTACAGTAGCTGATATATAAGTAGCCATATATTAGGTTTTATTATTATTATTTAATAAACATACATAAGTAAATATATTTCAAAAGTCACCCTAAAGGGGTAGGTGGGTGGCTTATGCCTTTAATCCCAACTGCTCCTAAGGTGGGGATAGGCAGTTTGAGGCCAGCCCTGGCCAAAACTTAGTGAGACCCCATCTGCACAAAAAATCTGGGTATGGTGGTACTCGTCTGTCATACCAGCTATGTGGGAGGCATGAATAGAAGATTGTAGTGCAGCCCTGCCCTAGGCAAAAGATGTGAGACCCTACTTAAAAAAAATTAAAGGAGAAAGAGATGGGTACATTGCTCAAGTGGTAGATCACCTGTTAGCAAGCATGAGGCCTTGAGTTCAAAAACCAATTGCGTGCTTATCATTTTTGAGACAGGGTCTCCCTTTGTAGCCCAGGCTGCTTCCCAAGGATGGTGTTATAGGTGGGTACCACCATGCGTGATAGTAGTTGCCTATATAATGAAGACTTCTTGGAAAGTTCAGGTCTTTCCTTCTTTGAGTCCTTAGCATAATTTATCACCAGTCTTTGTAGCACCTACTAATGGAAATGTATTGCATTTATTTACTTTTCACTTTGTTTCAAGACCATGAGCTCCTTGATGACATTATGTCCTTGTTAAATTAATGAGCCTCTTTGAACTTGTTTACCCATCATTAAAAAGGTTATCCTATAGAATTATTGTTGGGTTTTAATAAGGTAATACATTTAAAACAATGTAGTGTCTGACATCTAATAAGACTTACATAGGTGGTATATTATTGGAGTTTTCCTATCTCTAATAGAGAATTTTGAAATCAGTTTCTTAAAAGAGTAGGTCAGCTTTTCATCATTTCCTACTTTGAATGATAGACTCCAAAATAATGCTTCTTACATTTTCACATTCCTACTATTTCTTAGTATTCTAACTTAGGTCTGTAGAATGCTGTTGCTCTTTTTAAACAACTTTATTGAGACATAATTCACATATTAAATAATTCTCCTATTTAAAGGCTACATACTGATGGGTTTTAGTAGATTCACAAAGTGTACAGCTCTCATCACTGTCTAGTGCTGAAACTTTTTATCACCTCAGAAAGAAACCAGGTGTCCCATAGCAGCCATTCTTCATTTCTCCCTTCTCCAGCCCCTGGAAGCCATCAGAGTGGTTCTATGTCTGTGGATTTTACTCTAGACATTTCATGTAAATGGAATGTATATGTAAATTTTTGTGTCTGGGTTTTTGACTCAGCATAATGTTCTGAAGGCTCATCCAAGTTGTATCATGTATCTACACTTTCATTTCTTTTTATAACTAAATAATATCTGTTTTGTGGATATAGCACATTTTGTTTACCCATTCATCAATTGATAGACACTATTCTGTTTTGCGACTATTAGGAATAATGCTGTTGTGAATATTTTTTGTTTTAGCTTTTTTTTTTCTCCTTTTATTTGATCATTTTTACATTTACTTACATGTGTATTCATTGTTTGTGCCACCCCCTCCAGCCCCTTGCTTCCAGGCAGAACCTATTGAATATTCTCATGTAAGTTTTTACTGTGGATGCCTGTTTTCATTTCTCTTGGGTATGTATACCTAGGAGTGTAATTGTTGGGTTACTCTCTCTGTAACTTCTTGAGGAACACTGTTTTCCAAAGCGATCACACCATTTTTACAGTTCAATCAACAATGGAAGGTTCAGTTTCTCCACTCCTCACCAGTACTTGGTACTGTTGGATTATTTGAGCCATTCTAATGTGTGTGTAGGAGTATCTCAGTGTGGTTTAATTTACACTTCTGTAGTGACTTAAGAGTCTTAAATGTCTTTTTATGTGCTTATTTGCCTTCTCTATATCTTTGATAAAGTGTTTATTCCATTTCATCTGTGTTTTGCTGGGTTTGTTTTCTTGTCATTGAATTTGGAGAGTTCTGTGTTTTCTAGATACAAATACTCTATCATATTGATGTCTTTCAAATTTTTTTTAGTCTTTGGCTTTTATTTTCAGGTTCTTAATATTTCTGAGAGTTTATTTTGGTGAGGTCAAATTTATCATTTTTTTGTTGGCTTGTTTTATGGATTGTGCTTTTGGTGGTATGCTAAGAAATCTTTGTCTAACTTTAGGTCACAGTGATTGTCCCCTGTGTTTTCTTCTAAACATAGTCTTAGATCTTAGATCTATGATCCATTTTGAGTTAACTTTTGTGTATTCTTACTGTTGGAGTTTTATATTGCCTCGTTAGCTCTTATCCCCACAGTGAATGCACAAACCTAATTTATTGGAAAGTTCAATTCATGTAATTTTAAATTGCTAGATGATTTTAATATAAATTCTTGTAAAGAATGTGTTCCTAGCTTTTCATATTTAATTACATTCATCTTGCTTGTCATATAGTTTCATATGTAATTGTTCAGAAATTACGCTCATTGTTAAAATGTTGCTATTAACATTATTATTTATTTAGTTGCTAGTAACTATTATTCAGGTTAAATTATTTGAATAAAAAAGTAAACATTTGTCCTTTGTTGAGAAAGCAAAATGTGAAGCCAGTTGGCAACTCTCAGTGATTCTTGAATAAGAGCCTACTTCTTCTTCCTTGAGCCTTTGCATTTGCTGTCCCCTCTGTCAGGAACACTCCTGTCCTAGTTCATTCCTTCACTTTTTCAAGTCTTTGGAGTTGAATAGCAACTGTCACACATGCTATTGAAAATTGTAGTTCTCATCCTTCAGTAGTCTCAGCTCTACTTCCTACCCTATTTTTCTCATAGCACTGTACTGTCCTCTAGCATGAGCTGTATTTACTTGTTGATTTCATCTACCAGACTATAAGGTGCCCAAAGGCAGGGAGTGTTTGTTGTTATTGTTGTTCACTAACACCTGCCTAACAGCTAAAAGAGTGCCTAGCATGTAGTAGGTGCTCAATAAATGTTGAATGAATAAATTAGTAAATACATGAAGTTATACCTATTTGTCCTAGGGTTCATTTTAAACTCTAGAGCTTCTAATAAAGATATTAGCAAAAGAAGAAAATACCTTATAATAAATTATTTAAGATGATTTAGATAACATTTGCTATGGAAACTTATTTTTACGATTTTTAAAAATTATTTCCAGGGTTCAGTTTGGCAAAGACTTGGTGCAGATGTGACAGCAGTTGAATTTTTGGGTCATGTAGGTGGAGTTGGAATTGACATGGAGATATCTAAAAACTTTCAACGCATCCTTCAAAAGCAAGGGTTTAAATTTAAATTGAATACAAAAGTTACTGGTGCCACCAAGAAGTCAGATGGAAAAATTGATGTATCGTAAGTATGCTACTTTTTTTTTTGCAGCATGAGGTTTTGAACTCAGAGCTTTGTGTTTGCCAGGCAGGCTCTCTATCACTTAAGCCACACTCTAAGACCTTTTTGCTGTAGGTATTTGTTTAATGGGATCTCACATTCATGCACAGTCTGCTGTGGACTCTGATCCTTCCTATTTACACTTCCTGCATCGCTGGGATGACAGGTGCTCTACCACACTCAGCTTTTATGGATTGAGATGGGGTGGTCATGTGAGCTTTTTTTGCACAGGTTGGCCTCGAACTACAGTCTTCCTGATCTCCGCCTCCCAAGTAGCTAGGGTGATAGGCATGAGCCACTGCCCCTGGCTGTGTTTGATTTTGATTTATCATCAGATGATAAATCTGATTCTTTAAAAGAAGTTTTAAAAATCAGATTAACTGCCGGGTACGTGTGGCTCACACCTGTCATCCTAGCTACTTAGGAGGCAGAAAGAGGTCAGGAGGATACAGGTTTGAAGTCAGCCCTGGGCAAATACTAAGTGAGGCCCTATCTTGAAAATACCCAACACAGAAAAAGGGCTGGTGGAGTGGTTCCAGTGGAAGAGCACCTGTCCTAGCAAGTGCAAGTCCCTTGAGTTCAAACCGCAGTACCCTTCCCCACCCCCAAAAAAATCAGATTATCAAAATTACTATAATAACCATTTTATTGCTTAATATAACTCAGTATTGCTAGAAAAATTAATCATATTGTCTTACTGTAATACTCCTTTTCATAATACATACTCAGAAAATTTAAAAATCTTAAGTGTGTAATAAAATTATTTCAGTATTTTTAGATAGACACATAGGGAAATCAGTAATATTAGATTGCTTACTGTGTGTCTGGCACTCTACTTATTAAATAATTACACAACTTAATGAAATAACTTGGGCTAAGGTTAATTTCACAATTAGTGAGTGTAGCCAGTACTTGAACTTGGAGGAGTCTGACTCTGAGGTTGTGGTTTGTACTTCGGTGCTGGGGCTCAAACCCAGGACCTTGTGCATGCTGGGAAATGCTCTACCACTTAGTCACATCCTCAGCCCTGAATCGTGTGTGTGTGGGGGGTGAGGGGGTGGTGTGTGTGTGCTTTTTTGAGACAGGGTCTTACTATATATCCCAAACTGGGCTCAGACTTGGGATCATCCTGTCTCAGCCTTCCAAGTGCTGGGATTACAGGTATAGCATATATTACCACACATGGCATGAGTACTATGTTTTTAACCACTGTGTTATATTGCCCGTTAGAGATTTTAATGATAAAACTCTAGAGGAAGTACGTATTTTTCATTGCCTGATTCTTACGTTTATAATAAATAAACTTGATATTAGAAATACCAACACTTGAGAAATCTGTGATCTGAAAATTTTAAATCTATCAGCTATCTATGTAGACGTGTATTTACAGTTATACATTATTCTTTATGTAGTATTGAAGCTGCTTCTGGTGGTAAAGCTGAAGTTATCACTTGTGATGTACTCTTGGTGTGCATTGGTCGACGGCCCTTTACTCAGAATTTGGGACTAGAAGAGCTTGGAATTGAACTAGACCCCAGAGGTAGAATTCCAGTCAATACCAGGTTCCAAACTAAAATTCCAAAGTAAGTTGGAGAATTATCTACATTTATTTATTAAAAGAAATATTTTACTAGTTATTTTTGGCTCTCAGTATAAAGATATAAAACATAGATGCTTCCTGTGTCTATGGTGGATGGATGTATTGTAAAGGAATATATAAAAATTCGTAGCCAAATCATCATTTTATATAATTCTCAAACACATGTAATATAGTAGTGATGAAGACTTTTTAAATCCTTCATAATTACTGCTATTTTTAAATTTAGAAAATTTTTATCTACATTCTCAATTTTTGTGTGTGTGGTTTTTTTTTCTTTGAGATGGGATCTAGCTGTGCTGCCAGGTTAGTCTTGAACTCTTGGGTTCAAGTGATCCTTGTCCTCAGCCTCCCAAGTGCTGGGCATTTTTAATAATTTTTTAATTTATTTCACACAGTTTTGAAAGTAAGATTTTTGTCATGCTTAAAAAATTTATTGCCTTACAAGATGTTATATCAAATATAACTAATTAAGTTTTTTCCTTGTTCAGAAACTAGAATCTAGGCTCAGATTTTTGATGTATCTGATATATATTTTGATGATACTAGATAGAAGCCTGTTTTGGCTTACTGTGTTTCTTTTGTGCTCTGGTAGTATCTATGCTATTGGTGATGTGGTTGCTGGTCCAATGCTGGCTCACAAAGCAGAGGATGAAGGAATTATTTGTGTTGAAGGAATGGCTGGTGGTGCTGTGCACATTGACTACAACTGTGTGCCATCGGTGATTTACACACACCCTGAAGTTGCTTGGGTTGGCAAATCAGAAGAGCAGCTGAAGGAAGAGGTAATCCTGAATATGGGCAGTTTTACTCCATTGCGCAAATTGAGCCAGCGACTCTAGAGGCTGAGAAAAAGTGTCTTACTGCATTACTGTTTTTTAATGACTATGTAGAACATTATGGCTTATATATTTTTTCTTTGCTAGCATCATAAAGAGATCATTCTTCTTAGACTTTGCCAGCTGTAAAAGAGGGGAGGATAAGTTACCTGTATTAAAAAAACTGTTTGCCCCAGAGCTTTTGTATTTGTATTTGAAAAATAACCAGGTGTACATTTACATTTGTACTATTTGTACTCAAAATATATTTCATTAGCCTGCCTCTTAGGACTGGAGACATGGCTCAAATGGTAGAGCACTTGCTTAGAAAGCTTAGGCCCCTCAGTTCAAATTCCAGTACTGCTAATAAAACAAACAAAAAAACCCAAATATGTTTTGGTTGTTCCTCTATATGCTTTGTGAACAATCGCTTTCTTGGAATTTATTTTCTGAACAAATGGTAGATGGTTTCACTAATGGGAATGAACTTTTTCTGTGCTTACGGAGGTGTTCATTTTATGTCTCTCATAGGGTATTGAGTACAAAGTTGGGAAATTCCCATTTGCTGCAAATAGCAGAGCTAAGACAAATGCTGACACAGATGGTATGGTGAAGATTCTTGGGCAGAAGTCAACAGACAGAGTACTGGGAGCACATATTCTAGGACCGGTGAGTATAATAAAAGCAGAGATATTCCATTAAGAGTTTTGGAAAGCATTGCTATTTAGTAGATTACTTTTAGACCACCTGTGTACATTCTGATGTTGCTAATTACCAACAAAAGTTTGGATATGGCCTCTGTGTAGTCTTTCTAGCAGGTACCAGCAGTAGTTTCACAGTTTTGCCTACCAGATCATCTACTTTTTTACTGTAACCAAGATCATGTCTCTAAGACTTACCAGGCTATGTCTCTGCTTAAAATCTTCCTGTGGTGCTTTTCAGCTTCAAACTGTTACATATGAGGCTTCCCTTAATTGGTCCTATCCTGCCTGCCTTTCTGAGCTCATCTTTCTGCTCTACCCCTTTGCTTATTTATTCCTTGCCATATTAGCCTTAGCTCATTTTTGTAACAGTCCAAATTGACCTTCAGGCTTTTAGTATCCTCTGCCTACAATGCTCTACCTCTAGATCTTTGCGTGGTTGGTTCCTATTTAGGCTTCACCTCAAATATTACCTCCTAAGAGAAGCCTTCAGTATCTGATATAACAATAAAGATAACAGTATTTGAGTGCTTTCTATGTCACTTTTCCTAAGTATGTACACATCGACCTTATTTCATTTTTACAACAACTTTGTTAGGTAGGTGCTATTAGTTTTTGAAGCTAGAAGCTGAATGAAGCACCTAGAGCCAGTGAGTGGTTGAGAAGTGGCAGAATTTGAATCCAAGTCATCCTGGTTTAGCACTGAATCTCTCCTGTCATCTTTTCTTTTAAGCTTTTACTGACTGGAGACTTTTTCCTGACTTTGCCTCAACTGGTGTAACAACAAACAAACATTTAAAACAATTTTAAGGTCTAAAAGTGTAGTCTTTTAATTGTAGTTATTTTTTCCCTGGAAGCAAAATTAAGTTGTTGGCTTATTTTAAAGGGTGCTGGAGAAATGGTAAATGAAGCTGCTCTGGCTTTGGAATATGGAGCATCCTGCGAAGATATTGCAAGAGTCTGCCATGCACATCCGGTAATTATTAGCAACATGCATAATTAATGACCACCTCCATTTTCTTCTGACCCACAAATACTTGCTTTTTAATTTTACACTTCTTCTCTTGCAGACCTTATCAGAAGCTTTTAGAGAAGCAAACCTGGCTGCATCATTTGGGAAAGCCATCAACTTTTAAATTAAAAGATACTTTTTTTCCTGAAATCTCTTGGAGGTTTTTGTAGAGGTCACATTTCTGAACAGGATATGCTCCCAATTCCAAGAATTTCTAGGGACTGAATTATGAAACTTTTGGAAGGTATTTAAAGGTTTGGACAGAATGGAATAATCATATCTATATTTCAAATAAATATTTTATTTCAGTGCATTAATGTTAATGCAGGACAAACAAGGTTTTCATCAAGCCATATTTTCATCTATGAATGGTTCAACTTCACTGAATTAATGTTAAGTGGCTTTTATCTCTGATTTAGTAAAGTTGAATTCACTGTTACAAGGAAGGAAATGAAATATGGTATATGAACAGTTGTGTTTGAAAGCAGGTGATCAAGTTTTTTCAAATTTGGTTTTCATATTGGAAACAAGTTACCTATTGGAACAAGATTCTAATATGTACAAACCCAACCCGTGTAAATAAAAAGTGACCATCTCTTGTTTTATTTAACTCCTAAATTCTTGCAGTTTAGTGATAGAATTTGTGTTTAAGAGATTTTAAAGTTCCATTGAGGTCTACAAGTCTGAAGGATAGTTATGCCATTATCCAAACTGTCTTTAAAACTTAAATATTTAATGGAGACTGAAATGTATTATAGCAAAGAATGAAGATATCGAAATAAACATGTCTTAAATACTGATTACTGGTTATTCTGAGTGCATCTTGAGAGGGTCCTAATTCTTAGAGACTACCTCTAGTGTGTACTTCATTTTTTATTCTTTATTATTACTTTTATAGGCCCAAATGTCTGTTTTTCACATTGTTACAGCAATGTTAAGATATTTAAGAAGTCATTATTCTTTCATCTGTTTTATAGATACCCAAAATGTTTAGCATATAGTTTTGGAGAAATACAATGTGTTTATCTGCTATCTTTTCCTATGTGGGTTTACTTAGCCAAGGCAACCCACATGCTGCTTTCTTTAAAGAGCATTATAAAAATTTGCATTTATTGATAACTAAAGTGGTTATTTAAGTCTCTTAAAGGCCAAATATGCTAAATAGATATTTGCATACTGGAAGTAAGTTTGAGCATTTCAGATTAAGTAGTTCCAAAGTGTATATAAATAGCATAGCTTTCTAAAAAGGAAAGTAAATAAAAATTTAAAATATTAGAAATGTATAAACTAGCTATTCACTTGATTGTAGTTTAAAGGTTATAGTCATAAAGTTTGGAGAACGTAATCTGTGTGGCATCAGATACTATCAGTTGATCATAGCTGAAAGGAAAAGGTTTACTAGTCTTCAGGTTTTAATTGCATTGTGTGTGGGTCATATTTTCCTTTCTATGTCCAGTATTCTTAGGGTTTGAGTCATCGTCTATATTCTTTTACATACTGCTGAAAAATACTGAGTTTATTTAAGATCAGGCAGTTAAGTTGGCTTGACTGGGTGGGGGTAGCAGCTGAAATTTCTTCTTGTTTGTTCTTTATTTATGCTATCTGAAGTCTCCCCAAGATTGGGTAGACTTCCTGAAATTTTTTTTCCTACATCTTCCAACTATGTTGTTGCCTCAAACTCTGATTCTTTAACCAGCAAAATAGTGTTTTATTATCATTTCAAGTGAAAACTTGTTAAAAACAATACATTTTCCCAGCACTGTTCACTTCTGCAGAGTTAGCTCCTCCACCACTGGCTGCTGTGCTTGCTCTCCAGTGCCGTTACGTTTTGTTAAATATTAAGTTTGCAGTTGTTAACAGGAGGAGGGTTGGTCCGATATGGGATACTTTGCCTTTAGTGGAAGTAAATTCTGTCTTTCAAAATTCATGCTAAGAGCTAGTTAGCATGCCTTCTACTCTCAGGGAAGCTTTTACTTTGGGAGTAGTGAAACAATTTAATATGAAATCCTAGCTATCAGGATACACAAAATAATAGTTAAATCCAGCCCAAAGCTCTCATTCAGCATGAGAATGCAAGTGTATCTGGGTGCGGAATAAAGTCATAGGCATAAAAAAGTATTAAATGTTTTCTTTCTCTACTAAGCTCTCAATATTTTGAGGATTTTTAAGGCAAATGTCCCAGCTCACTGAGCTGATTAGTATTTGGAAAAATGAGATCTTTTGTTGTTTTAGCTGAAAAGGCATGGGGAGTAGAGAGAGTGTCTACTATTTTTTAAATAAAAAAAGATGTTCTACATAGAAATAATTTTAATAAAATTTGAATGAAAGTTCTCATTTAAAAAAAAAAAAGATGTTCTAGTTTATATCACCATTTTGCTAGTTATTAGGATTTTTACCTAACTAAAAGTGACAAATGGCCTTGGACCAGAGGGAAGTTGCCTAAATTATAGCTGGCTTACATATCTTTACTTAACTCCACCCAAGAGTCTTGGTCAAAGATGTGTGAGAAAACAGGGACCGGGCTGTTGTTTAGCTAGTTCAGCTCTATAGTTGACAATTACATTCTGGGGATTTTCTTTATGCTCTGGACTAAGGGATTGTTGTATGATTGTTTTTGGCTTCACCTACAGATTGTGGCATAGGAGGTTAGTTGTGAAGATAGGTGAAGTTTAATACAAAAGCTGAGGAATTAAGATCAGTTCAGTAGTGGTTTCCACGCATTCTGGCCTGATTTAACTGAAACCTACCTATCAGCAATACTGGTCCTATTCTAGGTAGGAAAATTTACAAGCCACAACTCACTTTTTGTTCACATTTCTAGAGCAAAGAGTCTTTACAATTTGGGGGATTGGTGCAACCAAGCAACAACTGAAATGGTTTAGGCTGTTATCTTTACTCCTTAATTTTGACCCTGCAACTCCCACTGGGAGGTGAATTTTTAAAATATTTTTTGGTGAGACTATGGTTTGAACTCAGGGCTTCACACTTGATATGCAGGTGCTCTAACACTTTAGCCATACTTCCAGTGCATTTTGCTGTGGTTGTTTTGGAGATGGACTCTTGTGAACTATTTGATTTTTCTCAGGCTGGCCTCAAACCATGATCTTCCCTTGTCTCAGGTAGGATTACAGGCATGAGCCACCAGCGCCTTGCAGATACTTTTTTTAAAGGGAATAGATTTTTGGAACATGTCAGCCTAGGGAAATAGAGGAGTATCAGCTTATTTATAGGCATAATAGAAATTGTTGTCTTCTCAGCAGCAGTAAACTTCTTTATAAATCCATCTTAACAGTGAAAATGCCAATGAATTTAAGAATTTTACCAAATGTATTTATACAAAAGCACTGTACTTTATTTAACTCCATACAAAATTTGGTGGTTAAAAACATTAAATAGATAATTAGTTTTAATTTGAAGATCATTAGATCAGTTTTTAAAATGTAGCTGTTTTACTTTGGTCACCTCAGCCATCTTTATGGCCCTTTCTCCTTTGTTACAAGCAGGTGCTGTAAACAGCAACTTTCTGGCTTATATCCTTCAGGAGTGAACGGACCTCTCCTTCCAGTCTCACTAATTCTTGAGCTTTATCTTCTAAATATTTTTGATTGTCCTCATATTTTCTTTCTAAATCTGTGGAAGATAAAACAAAAGTTAAGTTTGAACAATTTATGCTATGATTATCTGAAAACTTAGTCCAGTCAGTCCAGTCTTTCTGAGGCTCTATTTAAAACTTAAGACAAAAGGAGATTTTCATTTTTTAAAGAAAAACCACCTCTGGATGCTTAGTTTAAATTTATAAAACCATGATCCCAAGTGAAGAGACCTACCTTTCAGCAGTTGCAGCTTGCTGTTTGCCTGAGCCAAAAGTGTTTTTGCTTCATTTTGTAGCAGTTCAGCTTTCCTTCTGGCATCAGCTGACTCTTCAGTTTTTTTGGCAATTAAACTTTCTACTTTCTTATACTTTTCATCAAGTTCACCATCCAGAGTCTGCAGTTCGATGTTTAGACACAAAGAAGTGATAATGTTAACGTCAGTAATTTCATCTAGAAGCCATAGTATATTCATATAAGCTCCAGTCATGATAATATGAACTTTAGGACAGGCATTCTGGATTAAAGGACACCAAGGGTATTAGGTGTCATATTTTTAAGAGCACTTCAAAGAAATTTTGGAGTTTGCAGCAAGTCCTTAAGGATAAGCACTTCTCTATGGAAAAATTACTGTACGGAGAGCTACATAAAGTAGATTAGACATCAAAGAAAGCTCATTTTCAGGAAATGGAGGACCATCTGGATCTTCACTCATTTAGGGTTGTCAAAGACCCGACATCAGAAACCAAAGAGAAAAGGCAGCTATAACAAAAGATTTGGGAATTCAGGTTGAGATTGTAGCATATGCAAAAGTAGGTGAGGAGAGAATTGCCTGGGTTTGGAAAGATAGGTGCAAATGAATTCCTTTTAGAACACTGTCCAAACAGTCATTATGGAAATTCATTTTAAGAGATCTTACTCCTCTTTATTGTGATAAAAGGTCATTTTTAAGATGATCTCAAGCGGACTGCTAGGGAGATTTATGCCCTCAGAGCTTTGGGAAGCTACAGTAGAAAAGGCAGGTCTGATATGATGGGAGTGCTTTTCTCATTGTGTTCTTTTCCCAACCCAGTGGCTTAGGGAAAGTACTTTAATGTCTAAAATCTATAGTAACTTTTAGGAAAAATTTTAAATAGGAGGGAGTTAGAAATTAAGTTATTTAACAGTCTTTAACACCTTCCCCAAAGTTTAAAAAGGTATCTTTTTAAAGCATTACCTGGCTTATAGTTAAGTGTGAGAGTTTTCTCTGCTAAATATAGTGCCTTGCCTTCCAATAAGAAGCACGGGGTAGTTAGTGAGACTGAAAGGGGGTTAAGACTTGATTTCCTATTAGCTATTCTCTGTAAGGAACTATAAGCTTTTTCTATTCTCAAATGACTAGGTAATTATATGTCATAAAAGTCTTAACTGAAATATAGTACATAAATACAAGTTTGGCATGCTTATTTTAAGAAATAATTCCATTCTCCTAAACCTTTACCCAAGTTTGGATTTGAGGACTTAACTCATGCTTGTTGGACACTTCCATAACCGCTCCCATTCTTTCCCATCTGCATCTCTAGAGTGCTATTTTAAAATAGGTCATTTGAGGTGTTCCTGGTAAATGTTAGGTCCTTGTTCCTTAGTACTTCCAAGGAAGGTAAGGAGGAAAGTGGCTGCACCTTTACCAGCTTAGCTGTGAGGTTACAAAAATTGACTTACCTTCCTGGCATCTTCTGCACCTTGCTTTACAGTATATGCGACTTTTTCAATGTATTCTGCCTCCCCAGAGTTCTGAGCAGCCTTCCGCTTAAGTTCCTCCACGTTTCTCTCTAGCTCGCTGATGCGCTGGGAAGCATTGAACAGGGTTTCCTCAGAAGCTGCTGTTTCAGATTCAATCTAAAAGATCATCCAGCAAGCCATCAGTTTAAGAAATTGTAGGAAGTACTATGACTACAGGTTTAGTGGAATATTGGAAAGGCTGCTTTGCCATTTTGTTCTAGACCAAAG